AAGTGTAAATCTGAAATAATCCGAACCTAAACCCTTGTTTGATTAGCAAATTTCATGCATTCTTTATGTGTGTATATGTGTAATATGAATTTCGAAAGTAACGAATTTCATCCCATTCGCAAAATTACTCCAATTTCATATGAATGTCGGGGACAGGTCCCCGAAACTCCTCGACTACTACTAACGATTCATTTATTCGTGTTTAAAGCGAACGCAGAAATTCCATCTCATTCTCATCGTTTTTTTTTTGCATTTCAGACAGAAGCAATTTCGTAATGAATTGTCAAATTGCATCTCATAAAATTTCTCAGTTTTTATTGCAATGAAAATTCAGTTTAAACATTTCAAAGTTCAATTTCCTTCACATAATTCGTCACTCTTGACGAGATTCATTCCAATTTTCCGACCGATTTACTCCTTTTTTTTCACAACTTCTCCAGTTGAATTCTTATTTGTCTTTTTCCACTTAAACTTGTTTGTTGAGGAGTGAAGCGTAAAATTATGGACCACTCGCATCGTCTCGAAAGAATTACGAAGGAAAAAACTACTGTTAGAGTCAATGAAATTATGGATTGCAAAGAAAAAGTTGTCATTTAATAATTTGACCTGTTCGACTTCAACAAACAGTGAACCCATTGCTTTTGTTCTTATGCACCGAATCGCTCATTTGCATATTACACGTGTACACATTCACGAACAATTTTGTATTTCGCAACTCGAACAATCGCACTCTTTGATCGACTGACTGCATCACTGACGATGAGTGTACTTTCTTTATATTGTATTTCTGAACCTAATTAGGCCTATAAGCTCTTTTCCGACTCAAAAGAATTCATCGGAATTCAAATTAGCTGATTAGGTCATTATTGTGGACTGTTTCTTTGAAAGGGCAAGTTAAGAGCATATTTTCAGCGTAAGTACATTTGTAAGGTTCATTGCAGATGGATGCCGAGACATGTGAGTAATTTATTCAATGGAGTTAGAGTAGAGCATAAAATTCGAGTGAGTTTCTTATTAGTGTCAGATTAAATTGGTAATAGTACAAGTGAACTATATGGAGACAATCGATATTAATGAGTTAAAGCATTGCGATCAGCTTTTTTACTTCAAATTGTGTATTCCATCATTTGATTTGAATATGAACTAGTTTAATTATATGTAAAAATGGTATTACATCAGTGGAATTGGCTTGGCTTCGAATAAATTTGGGTAATTCAGGTAATGCAAAATAGTGAAATTCACTCCATTCTGATTGGGAAATCATTTGTTTGATTCATTGTTTTTGTTCAATCGTCCAGAGGAGCGCTTCGTTTCGGGCTCTGCTCTGTCTTCTGAGTTGTTCTTATTGCCGACTTGGTGTTGACCCATTACCAGTGTTGACTGCGCGCTCGGCCAGCACCTTATCACTGAAAACCTCGCCAATAATAACGTTTTCACGTTTCCCAAAGAAACACCTCGTTTCTTCATTCAAATCTCTTGTTGAAGACAACGCAAATCAATATGGCTTCTTCAAACGTATGCCTCCGTCGCTCATCCCATTCAGTTTCCAATTCCTTCTCCTCGGATCGCGCTAGCGATCACGATGCCAACAAGTTAGCGTTAAACCTGAGCCTGAACCAGCCGGACGGTTCGGACTCGTTGCACTCGGAACTCGTGCCACCAACTCAGACACCACCTGAGCTGCTGTCGGAACTGATGCGAACCGCTTTGCTACCGTCCGAAAGATTTCAAGTTCTTTCAGTGCCAAACGATGCTCAAAATCAACAGAATCGCAATGAACATCAAGGTCGAGCTTCACTATCGGAGAATAGCCGAGGTGTGCTCGGAATAAAGTCAAAGTCAAATTCAAAGTCAAGCCGCCACTCTCAACCACAACAACACCATTCAAAAGAACCCCTCTCTGTGGTATGTTTCTCGCCCCTTTTGGGCTACTCGGATGTTGCGTGTGTGCAGTTATTGTTGGCCAACATCAGCAATCGCCCGTTGCAATATCAAATCAGAATCCGTAACAGTTCATCGATCACTGCATCCCCCAACGGTTGTGGTTCACTGAAACCGCATTCGTCGAGCAAAGTCCTGCTCATTTGGCGCTATCAGCAAACCGCCGCTTCTTCTGCCCAAAAACCGGCCGAAACCTACGGTGATCGGAAACACCCTGCGGGATCCACTGCTCTTGCTGAAACGACTTTTTTGATGCAAACCCAATTCACAGACGCACTTCCCGACCCCGAGCTAACCGTACAAAAGATTGTGGCCCATGTTATGCCACACACCCACTGTACAGTGGCCAACCCCCCGGTGGAATCGTTCTTCTTCGATACGTCGGATGTGCATTCGGGAGTGAGTACAGCCGAATGGATCACCCAAAGCCCTCGGAGCGCACTGCAACATTTGAGTGGAGTCACACAGACGAGTAGTGTGCCGAGGCAATTGAAGTCTGCGTGGCTGTTGAAGTTGAGTGTGGTGGTTTTGGTGTGTGCGTTGATTATATACTGGGATAGATTTGTGAAATACGATGGTGAACAGTTGGAGACAGAAACGAACTTATGAGCGACGAACAATCCTCATGATGAAATTTCGAGAAAATCATTCGAATCGCTCGTTCCTGGGATCCACTTGTACCTTATTGTTAGGATGATTCAGGTTTTATTTGCGAACAGTAAAGTCTTGTCGAGAAATTATTATTTGAATATAATAGTTGAGAATTTGGAAAGAAAAAAGGTATGAATACACAAACTTCTCGGTTGCAATTGAAATCTGATGGAACAGCCGAATGGATCACTCAGAGTGGTTTTTCTTTCACTTTTCTTCACCGGATGGATCAACTTCACTTCTTTCTAATTCCATGTTATTTCCTAGATCAATCCATTAATTTGTAGTGGTCTTATTCATTTTTATCTTGTTCAGATAAGAAAATAAATGAATCATTTTTGCCATATCCGCGAGGCGGATATCCATCCATCTTCTGTCTCTGTCTGTTCGCACCTTTTGATGGCTCCAATTATTACGAATCTCTTTCTCACGTCTGCAACACCCTCAATTTCGTATAATCACAGTATAATGCAGTTATTATTATTTCTCCTCAACATTTCGTTTTTTGATTTATGAATTTTGATTTGCATTTCATCCACTTGTTTATATCGAAATCAATCTCATATTCGCTTAGTCGTAGTACTAATCGAGTACGTGCATATTTCATTGGATTGTTTTTTGATATTCAGTATTCAAATCTGACAGAATTAAGTCTAGTATTGAATTAAGTTGTTTGTATTCAGTTGAACTGAATGTTTGGAATTTGATGCCATTTTACGCTTGTAAAATAATATTTTGTGAGTTTGTTCAGTTCACTTCAATGGTATTCTGCTCATTGATTGATTGGGAATATGTTATTTTCATTATTAATATCATTATTATTATTATTGCACTTATTCTCTCCTCTTCTCTTGAATTCACTACATGAAAAATTTATTTCATTCTTTAAATAGCGTAGTCAGTCAGTCAGTCATTACATTCCATTCGATTTCATTTCATTTCATTCGGTTTTATTTGTGAACGAAACGAATAAATACATCGATTTCCATCGTCACGTCTGGAACGTTACCTCATAATCTCTCAGAAATTTCTTCCGACATTTTCAAATTTGCACGTTTTACATGTTATTTGAATTCGATTTCAATCACGAAGTGAAGTCTGCTATTGATCAGTATTATATTGCTTCATTCTGTAAGTGCGTTTAGTTGATTAACTGAAAAGTTAACGAAAACCAGAAAGATTACTGTTTGGATATTGATCGCACAATCGTTCGAGCGTAACTTCAAATCAGGATCATCGAATCGTTATATCAGCACGTACTCGTTCTAGCAGTTGCTAGATCGCTCAAATTTCGACATTTTAAATTCTGACTGAGCAACGTTACTATGTGTAATGATAATAATAACACTAGTGACGATAATAATAATAATAATAAAAGCAATGGTTATAAAAGGTAGATTATAAGGACAAATAATACTTTGAGTGAAGAGGATTATTGTTGTGATTACTCATGACACGTTATCAGTTCACTTGTTTCAAGTCGTCAGATGAATAATTCCATTCCATACGAATGAATCACGACAGTGAATCGAAGTGCTCTTACGTCAAACAGTTGTATCAATATACTCACTCTCCTCTTATTTTTAACTTCCGCAACGCTTACGAAATTCGATTCGTTTCGCTGAATTCTCTATAAATTCTATGAATTTTCATTTGAACACGTTACCGCTTTGAATCCGCGAAATTTCTCGCGAAAAGTGCATATGAATCGTTGAGGGATTGATGATAACAAGCGCGAGCCAGATGTGTTTATTTATTTTTGAAAAGGGATCCATCCGAATCTGCTGATTGTACGTATTATGTGTATATTATCAAACAGCTGTGCAATGCTGAACGCCGATTTCGTTTCATCGCATCGCTGTTCATTTTCCATTTGCTATATCGTCAGTGATGAGGCACTTGATTGCTAGCGTTTTTTATTTATCTCTTTTGGTGGATCATCGGCTTTATCCCATTCAGTGTTATCCTNTAATAATAATAATGCATAGTGTAATATCATAGTAGCAATACCATATAACAATCGTGTGGTAACATCATGATATTCTAATATAGTCGGGACTAGCATTATTACGATAATAATATTTTCCCTTTGATATTTATTATATCCAATGATAATTGGTACCTGAGAGCCTGAAATGGCTTTGTGTTCGGTGTGTAAACGAAAATCATTCGCGTCATTGCTGCAATTATCGCGTCTCTCAATTGAGTCCTCTATCCTCTGCAGAGCGAACAAAGCACTCAAACCTGTTTTTAACCAGCGGGGTTCCCTTTCAACATAACTTGATTGATACATTTGATAATATCAATATAACGTGATTACTTGCTAACTACATAATATTCTCTAAATATTCATTCGTTCTGAAATGAAAAACCATTTTCCCACATCAAGTTTTTTAATGCTCATTGCCAGTGATACTTGAATGGTTGATATTATCTAATTGTAAGCGTCATAATTGATTACTGATAATCAATTTGTTTGATTACACACAAACTGTGTTAGTTATCGATGAAAGTTGATCACATTCATATGAGAACACCTCGTGAAATATTGAAATATCACTGTATAATTTGTGTTTCTTAAAAGTTATTGTGGATATGAATACGATTATAAAAGTATTGTATTGCGTGTGCGTATTATATTGATTTCACTCATTTAATTCATGCATTTTTGTGTTGTTGAAAATGCAGAAATCTAATTACTACTACTCGTTTGCTTACTTCTTCCTATAGTGCGCGTACGAGAATGAATGAGGAAGATATAGTGGAGAGTGCACACAATTCAAAGATTTATTCCTCATTCTAAATGTATAGTCGGGATTAGCCGGGCTTTATTGCACGATTAACATTTTTCTGATGATACTGCTGCTAGTACTTGTACTATTGCAAAAAGCTGTGAGCAGTTGTTGTCTTATTATGCTGACCGACGACTATGCTCATTCACATAGTAGTAGTTTTATTTTGAGGACATACTATTAGTTGGGATTGGATATGCTGCGCAATTTGCAATTGGCAGTTTTACGAGGAGTGCTTGAAGAGGGAGAGGAATTTAAGGAATTGAGATCGAGCATGCACACGTGCAAAATTTTCGTCTGAAATTGGTTCATTTTAATATGGTTGAAGTGAATCGTCCTCATTTTCTGGGGTATTTAGGCTGATTTATTTTTATTGTTAACGATAATGATGATAATAACCTTGATTTTGCGAGAAATGTTTCGAAATGTTGTGAGATATCAGTATGAGTCTCTCAGTATGAGTCTTGTCAGTTTATTTTGATTTTTTAAATCCTTCAACCTCAACAATAGTATAGAACATACGAGTGGAAAATTTATTCCTCGACTCTTCAACATAATAGTTTTCTTTGTTAATTAATAGCGATTTTAAGATTCGTTCAATCATTTTGGAATTTCCGCTTTTTTCGTCGCATTTTTTCAGATCTTTCATTGANTATGTACGTGTTTTGTGTTACTTTTTGATTTGTCGTTGTTCGATTTTATTGATTTTATTGTTTGACATTGTAGTAGCAGATCGAAAGTATCTTATCGAAGAAATGACTTGTGAAAAAAATAGAAAAGAGAGAAGGGAATCGTTTTGTGACGAAAACTTTGAAAAAGGAACAAAAAAATACTTTCTTCAGTTCAGTTCTCATAAAATGTTCCATTCTTCGGTGGTGTTCTTTATTTCAGTTTCCAGTTCTTTTCCAGTTTTTCTTGTCATTTTCAAATTTTGGGAATAAAATGATTGAACTGAACTGCTTATCGTTCTTCTCATTGAAACTTCTCATTTTAAAACAATTTTACTCTTCACTTCTGTCGTTTTTTTCTATGTGATTCTGGTTCCCAGCTAATAGCTCTGGCAAACTTTAAGCATTTCTCTGCAACAGTTGATGCAAATGTCTCGCAAGAAATTCTTTTTTCTCAGTTTTCCATTTTCCATTTCTCTTATTTTTCCAAAGTTCTCCTCAAAGTGTTGAGCTATAACTGCGTTTTCGTGTAAGTGATAGGTTGGAATCAAACTAGTCTATGGTATGAGATGGTGAAATTGGTTGTGTTACGTGCGCTTTACGAGCTTTTTTCGGTGGGGTCATAAAAGTGAATTNATGGATGCAGATGAATGATGTTGTGATAATTGTTGTATTGTGCGGTTTGGCCATAATCAGTGGTTTGGCTGGGATTTCTTCGAATTTGGTGGGGTGCTGGATATGGTGAATTTTGAGGCGAGGCGCATTTTTACGTTTACTTTACTTTCTTGAATCATTGATTGGTAGTGATTTATCGTCGATCGTTAACTGCACATTATTTTTGTTGTTAATTGTCGATTAGCATTATTGTGATTATGATCATTATCAGATGTTTGCGATATTGCCATATTCTCATCGAGAGTGTTCGCTTGTTCAGTGAGAAATTTTAATTGATATTTACTCGAGAATGCTCGCACTCTGCCCGAAACTTCTGTCTCTTCCTCGAGAGTAATTTACCGAACGTATATCTAATATTGTCTGCTTTTTCAACCGAAAAAACTTGTATCTAACATGATTGCGATTGTTGAATTCATTTAAAATCGAAATAATGATCGATTGAAATTAATTTTATGTACGTGAATCATGCATGAATCATGATATTTGCTCTTGAATTGTTCATTATTTGAACGTATGAACGAACGATTGCTATTGATTGTTTGAATAATGGTTATAGCAACAACATGAAATACAACATCCAAACGTATACTATGAATTGTCACATTGAAATGAAATTATTCATAGTGAGAAGCAGATTGGTTTTGTGACGAAATTGTGAAAGATTTATGAGAAACAAGTAAAGGAATTGATTGCTGGGTTTTTGTGATTACTCGGTACTTTGAGGGTGATGATTCCTTTTCGTCACTCGATTCTCATCAATCACTACCATTCGTCAGTCATTCCATTTCATTATCGTTCATGAAATTGCTGGTGGTTTTGAATC